AAAACTTATTTGTAACCTTTCACTTTATTAAATTTGAAAGTTTTAATCCCTCACTTTATATTATAACACTTTTAATCCCTTACCTTAAAAGATTTATAAATTTTAGGCCTTCACCTATTATAATTATAATCGAATACAATAATTCTTATTTTATACTAACGGTTAATTTTGTTAGTTAAAAGTAGATTTTTATCAACTAATAATCAACTAATAGTCAGTTAACAGAATTAGCGAAATATTTTAAAGTTAATTTTGTTAACTCTATTAGCTGAAAGAAAATTTTTATAAGTTAACAGTTAATTAACAGTCAGTTAATAGAGTTAATAATCAGTTAACAAAACTAATAAAATATTACAAAGTGACGGTTATTTTTTCAATTTTAATAAATGAAGGGTTAAAAGTGTCATAATATAAGATGAATGGTTAAAATTTATAAATCTAGTAAAATGAGGAGTTAAAAATATTATAATATAAGGTAAGGAGCTAAAATTTTTAAACTTAATAAGTTGAGGGGCTAAAAATAGACTTTTATCGATTTTCAACAACATCACATTTTGTCCGAACACAAAAGAGTGGCAAGGATGGGAACTAATTTGGTTCGCTTTAGTTTGGACAATATGACTGGCAAGAAATGATTTGGTTTTCAAAAAGAAATCCGTGCAGGTGGAGAAGTTATTTGATTTTGTGCAAGTACGATAAGATGTTAGGAGGCATGATACCTTTTTTTCAAAGTGGTTGGTGAACCAAGGGGATGCTTGAGCTGAGTATAAAGACAAATATTTAAAAGGCCTGGGTTGGAAATGAGAATAAGATCAATGTAAACAGTTCACAAAAGAAGAAAATTTATGTGATAAGATATTTATGAGTTTAGAGTATTCTTTGTATTTGATTAATAAAATTCTATTTGCTGCTAAAAAAAAACCTAAAAATTTCCTTTAAGGAGGCAAAACGAAAATTTGACAAGGATTTGGATGTTGATACATTAATTGAAAAGTAGATAAAAGTAAAAATTAAAAGAGAAAAAAATAATTTTAAATAAAGGATTTATCTATTTTGTGCTCTTAGGATATATGATAAAAAATAATTATTAATTAATAATTATTATTTTTTATCTTAAAAATGATAAAGTTAATTTTTGTTTTAATTGTAGATGTCATATGTTAAATTTTTATTGGTTTATTTTAAATTAAAAAA